ATATATATATATATGTGTGTCTTTTTTATATGTGTTACATAGTCATGTGATGCAAACACAACACTGGATGTTAGATGTTGTCACACAGCTTTTAACTAGGTAGGATTTTCACATTTTCCATTTGGATCCAATTAGAAAAATATGTACATCTTTGGAAAGAGTTGTGTCCGTCCTGAGAAAAAACGTAAACTCTCAATACACTACTCAGTGACTACTGTATATATTAAAGATCAGAAAAAAACCCCATATGACTCATGGTTTGGGAAAGGACATCGGTTATCCAAAATCGTTGCTGCTGTTTTGCAACTTAACATAAAGAGTTTCTTTAGGGACTTGTAACTTCAGCTATATAAAACAGTCTATCTATCTATCTATCTATCTATCTATCTATCTATCTATCTATCTATCTATCTATCTATCATAGTTCTTTAAGATTACCTGAAATATTGACAAAACAACACACTTTTAAATAATTTCGACAACAACGTTTCAAGTGAATTTTTCAGGAATTGACATCAATGACCCATCAATGTTAAGTAATTGAGTTTGCACGAGAATCACAATATCTGTAATATCTATAAGGCTGTAATATATTGTTGCTAATGTATGAAACTATTTGCTGCAATGTAACATTTTCTTGCCTCTTTCAGACTTGTCACTTTGTGGCAGGACTGTCCAAACCGCTAACATATTGTTTCTAAACAGTTACATAGAATTCAAAGGCTGATAGATGGTAAATGGAGCAGACTGGCTTTGCAAAGGGCTTATTTTGTTATGTGGCTTTAGATCAATGTGTAATAAAAGCATTGCATAAATATTTAAGTCAAAGCTCTGAACCCCAGCGTTCACAGGGAGAAACAAATCTGCGTCTATTAGTCCTTCTAGAATCTGGGATAGTCTTGAGAAAGAAGAGCATATTAAAGTCTTCTGTGGCCTCATTTGAATCCTGCTCTGCTTCTGCAGAATAAGGAGTGTGAATAGACCAATCACTTCATAATGATGATGAATGAGGAATTAATTCACATACAAGCAAGGCAATTTAGGCCTTCATCTGTTTAAATAGCCTTCCCAAATTATTCGCAATTGCAGGTCACAGATTTAATCAATTGACCAATCTTG